TATTACTGTGCAGAATTATTAGGCAACGTGATTTAAAAAAAACAACTATATACCCATCTCACTTGTTTATTTTCACCAGGGAAACCAATATACGTAACAACTCAAAATTAAGAGCCACCACAGCCTCCCAGACACTGTTCAGAGAGGTGGACTGTTTTCCCTCCCTGTAGATCTCACATTTCATGAAGGGCCACAGGTTTCTGATGGGGTTCAGATCAGGTAAACAAGGGGGTCATGTCATTATTTTTTCTCCTTTTAGACTTTTTCTGGCCAGCCACACTGTGGTGTATTTTGATGCATGTGACGGAGCACTGTCCTGCATGAATATCATGTTTTTCTTGAATGATGGTGACTTCTTCTTGTACCACTGTTTGAAGAAGGTGTCTTCCAGAAACTGGCAGTAGGTCTGGGAGTTGATCTTGACTCCATCATCAACCCGAAAAGGTCCAACAAGCTCATCTTTGATGATACCAGCCCATACCAGTACCCCACCTCCACCTTGCTGGCGTCTGAGTCCATAAGGAACTTGCTGACCTTTACTGATCCAGCCTGGTGCCCATCCATCCATCTGGCCCATCAAGACTCACTCATTTCATCAGACCAAAACACCTTGTTGAAATCAGTCTGCAGATATTTCTTGGCCCAATTTTGACGTTTTGTCTTGTGTGTCTTGTTCAAAGGTGACCTTTTTCAGCTTTCCTTACCTTGGCCAGGTCCCTGAGTATTGAGCACCTTGTGCTTCTCGGCACTCCAGACATGTTGCAGCTCTGAAATATGGCACAACTGGTGGCTAATGGCTTCCTGGCAACTTCACAATTGATCCTTCTCAAATCATAGGGAGTTATTTTGCATCTTCTTTTTTCAACACGCTTCTTGCGCCCCTGTTGGGTATTTGCCATGAACCGCTTGATTGTACGATGATCCCGCTTAGAAAGCTTAGCAATTTCCAAACTGCTGCACCCCTCTGAAAGACATCTGACAATTTTTGACAGTCTGTCAAATCTCTTTTCTGACCAATTTTGCCAAAGGAAAGAAGGTTGCCTAATAATTAAGCCGACCTTATATAGGGTGTTGATGTCATTAGGCCATTACAGAGATGCACCCCACCTGATTTACCTAATTGGTAGTTGACTTTCAAGCCTATACAGACTGGAGTTGGACATGTATGAAAAGGATGATGTGGTCGAAATACTCATTTGCCTTATAATTCTGCACACTGTTTATAATTTACTCACCTTAAGCCAAAACATATGTAACTTACATAGACGTGTAGACACATTGAAATATTTTTGGCACTAATAGAACCTCATAAAGTTACCATTAGGAGGCATCAACAAATAGCTTCCATCATACGTAGCAGTTTATTATGTGGAATGTCATTAATTTGTTTATTGCCTTTGTTTTAATGTGTTCTAAGCAGCAATGTCAAGAAAATATAGATCTCCAAATAGTTTAGATATTAATCAGTGTTTCTTTTTCTGTTTTAGTTCGGCTTCTTAATGACACAGGCCATCCTCCTCTTCTCCCCCCACGCTTCCCTCATCAAGAGGTTTCCACACAAGACAAAAGGCCGTGTTCACTGGATCCTGCAGGGCCTCTGTGCCTCCTGCGCAGTTCTGGGTCTTGTTGCCATTTCCTACAACAAGTACCTGAACGGTAAAGCACACTTCTCCTCCTGGCACGGTCTGCTGGGCCTGATCACGGTGTGTGTGGTGTGCGTGCAGTCCTTGGCGGCTGTGCCTCTCATCTACCACTCTCTGGCCAAAGGTTGGTCCCTCGCCAAGCTTAAGCGCTACCATGCTGCGTCCGGGCTTGTCACCTTTTTGCTGGGCAGCACCAGCCTGCTCCTGGGGCTCTGCTCCTCATGGTTTACAGCGTCTGTTGGGGGATATGCCTGGTACTTGGTGGCACTTTGCCCCACGCTCAGTGCTGTCATCATAATGAACCAGGTCTCCAGTGCTTACATCGCTAAAAAACGACTGCAGTCATGATGGAGATACATTTATTGGACAGTCGGCTCATTTTACTCCTTTTAAAAGACTGAACTACAACTTCTCAGGCCACAGACGTCCCTGCCTTTTTATGTTTGATGCTAAGTTTTAATAATGATCTTTCCATGTTTGAATGAATAAAGTCAAATTAAAAAATGTAAGAAATGCGGATCCTTTTGATTCTTATTTTGAGGCTCTTTTGATGCTTTAGGCATCTTACCATCCTGTCACAAATTTTTGCTTTCAGTAAAAAAATATATCAAATGTATCCATCTGTAAAAAGAACAAATGGCCACAAAGAAGTACAGGTGCTGGTCATAAAATTAGAATATCATGAAAAAGTAGATTGATTTCAGTAATTCCATTTAAAAAGTGAAACTTGTATATTATATTCATACATTACATACAAACTCATATATTTCAGATGTTTATTTTGTTTAATTTTGATGATTACAAATGACAACAAATGAAAATCTCAAATTCATCATATCAGAAAATTAGAATATTACTGAAGACCAATAAAAACAAAGGATTTATAGAAATGTTGGCCAACTGAAAAGTATGAACATGAAAAGTATGAGCATGTACAGCACTCAGTATTTAGTTGGGCCTCCTTTGGCCTGTATTACTGCAGCAATGCGGCGTGGCATGGAGTCGATCAGTCTGTGGCACTGCTCAGGTGTTATGATAGCCCAGGTTGCTCTAATAGTGGCTTTTAGCTCTTCTGAATTGTTGGGTCTGGTGTATTGCATCTTCTTCTTCACAATACCCCATAGATTTTCTATGGGGTTAAGGTCAGGAGAGTTTGCTGGCCAATTAAGAACAGGGATACCATGGTCCTTCAACCAGGTACTGGTAGCTTTGGCACTGTGTGCAGGTGCCAAGTCCTGTTGGAAAATGAAATCTGCATCTCCAAAAAGTTGGTCAGCTGCAGGAAGCATGAAGTGCTCTAAAACTTCCTGGTATGTGGCTGCGTTGACCCTGGACCTCAGAAAACACAATGGACCAACACCAGCAGATGACATGGCACCCCAAACCATCACTGACTGTGGAAACTTTACACTGGACTTCAAGCAACGTGGATGAAGTGCCTCTCTTCTTTTCCTCCAGACTCTGGGACCTTGATTTCCAAAGGAAATGCAAAATTTACTTTCATCAGAGAACATGACTTTGGACCACTAACCAGTCCTGTTTCTCTTTAGCCCAGGCAAGACGCTTCTGACGCTGTCTGTGGTTCAAGAGTGGCTTGACACAAGGAATGCGACAGCAGAAACCCATGTCTTTCATACGTCTGTGTGTGGTGGTTCTTGAAGCACTCACTCCAGCTGCAGTCCACTCTTTGTGAATCTCCCCCACAATTTTGAATGGGTTTTGTTTCACAATCCTCTCCAGGGTGCGGTTATCTCTCTTGCTTGTACACTTTTTTCGACCACATCTTTTCCTTCCCTTCGCCTCTCTATTAATGTGCTTGGACACTGAGCTCTGTGAACAGCCAGCCTCTTTAGCGATGACCTTTTGTGTCTTGCCCTCCTTGTGCAAGGTGTCGATGGTCGTCTTTTGGACAACTGTCAAGTCAGCAGTCTTCCCCATTATTGTGTAGCCTATAGAACTAGACTGAAAGACCATTTAAAGGCTTTTGCAGGTGGTTTGAGTTAATTAGCTGATTAGAGTGTGGCACCAGGGGCCATCAATTTTGAACCTTTTCACAATATTCTAATTTTCTGATATGATGAATTTGAGATTTTCATTTGTTGTCATTTGTAATCATCAAAATTAAACAAAATAAACATCTGAAATATATGAGTTTGTATGTAATGTATGAATATAATATACAAGTTTCACTTTTTAAATGGAATTACTGAAATCAATCTACTTTTTCATGATATTCTAATTTTATGACCAGCACCTGTAGATTGAAATGATTTTGAAATGCATATTTTTTACATGTTAATTAGAATGCTCTGTAAATGGAAAAACAATATAGAAAAACTGAAAAAGCTACAGAATTGTAGAGAATTAAGATATAAGAGGTATTAAAAACAAGCAGAACAAGATAGTATTTAAAGAACCAAAACATTAGATGTGTTGCAACTCCTTATGGTTGACTTTCCCATCCAAAACAGATCAATCCCAGATCAACTCAGGATTTGGTGAGTTCCTGTTATTCAAAGCTGGAGCACAAACTTTCCTCTAATCCACACGTACACACCCACCTGCTTTGTAATTCATTTTGCCTGGACAATATAGTACTTTTTTAACCACCCATGAGTTCAGTTAATATTTTGAATTAGGTCTAAAATGAAAAAAAAATATCTCTGAACTTATATATATGGGGATTGTTATCTTTAACACTCACACAGAAAAAAATTATCAAGCATGAAAATGTTTAATTGGCCAACAAGTCCAAGAAACCTGGATTTTCTATCCAAAATGTATCAGCCTAAAAAAGTCTTAAGAAAACCTTAACTTTCAGGAAAGTTTCAGCAGGTTTGGTTCCTCGTTTCCATTAGAACACAAAGTGACGCTACTGTTATCAATGCTCATATATTCTGTTTTCCTCCCATAATATCACTACTTTTGTTGCACTTTGCACACTCTTCCCCCCAACCCTTATAACCCAACCCAAACCCTGTATCTCCTCTGTTAAACTATATAAATTACTTGATCTAAATATATAGACAAAGAAAAAAAAAATGCTCTCATGTACATTTGTGGACACACTTTTGATGCTCTTTGTTTTGTTTGGTGGACCCCCCTCCTTTTTGTCTCACTGTATATTATTATATATATGAATAAAATATATTTATGTACAATAGAATATTATGATAGAATAATAAATACAAAAAGCTTCCCTGTAACGAACCCCTGCTTCTCAGTATGATCCATCAACTTCTTATGTAGTTGATTCTCATCTTTATTATATATTTACATATTTCTGTATTATTTTAATCACAGTCTTGCTTAAGATTTATGACCTAAGGCAAAAATGTTTTGAAATAATTCCGTCTGTATTAGAAGATTATTTTATTTTTGAAATAACATTGATATCACATAGTTTTTTCATTTGATTTAGGCTGCATGTATGAAATCTTTACTGAATCAGCCATTAATGGGTCCAAATGAACAAAAAGTAACAAAAAAATACAGTTACAAAACCATATTTTACATTATAAATAAGTACATTTTAGACACAAAAATGAGGGACTCAAATGTCAAGTGGATTAACTAGAATTGGACATCATGAAAAAACTATTTTTATAATAAAATATAGTAGAGACTAAAGAAAGAAAAGACAGTGGGGTCAATATAATGTACCTCACACAGCTCAAATCCAGAAATGTTCCTTTTACAAAGTGCTAGCTCCACGTTTGAATCATAAACCACATGTTTAGTGACAAATAGGACAAAAAAAACTCATAATTCTTTGAAAGAACTAAAATGAAGAATCCAGGAGGCGACCGAGCTGGAAACAGGCAAAAGCAAACAGTACCTCTAACCAAAAAAGATAAATCCTAAAGGGAATGATCTGTTGTCTAAGTGTATCCAGTGTTTCTTAAAGGCTAATATTAACGGTCTAGCCTAGTTTACCAGCAGAGGAAAAGGACTTGTCCTACGTCTAAACAGGTGACAGAGAAACAGACAAAGAAAACGGGAGCTAAACTGCTGTAAAGCAAACCACACTTAGTGACACTCCTGACAGAAGCAACGCACACTGCAGCTAAACGGCTATCATCACATAACGGCACTGTCAGTTTTGTAAGGCCACCGCATGGACTCATCTGGCTCAGCCACTATCATGGGCAGTTTTACTGATAAAAGTCATCAGGACAAAATGAGGGTGGCCTGTTTGACTGAAGGGCAGATTCAGTGGTTTTATTCAAGATTAGGGACCGTTGGTTCTTAGAGACCTTATATAAAGGATTTTCTTTAGTAAGGTTTAGGTTAAATAATTCTACACAGGACAGGTCAGAAGTATTCATACACCAGGTAGAATTTGGCTTTTAATGATGCATGTGAACTGCTTGTTTTAGAGGTCAGATTTATAACAGCTGAAAAAAAGCTCTGATGGATAAAAAAAAAAAAAAAGCATAGACGGTTAATGTTAGTGTGCTTCTTTTTAGATGAACCCAAGTTTTAACCATCTCACCAAAACAGTCTTCCTCAGGTTAAATAAAATTGCTGAGGATGGTCGACGACAACACAGGAGCCGCCAAACCTTAGGCCAGTCTCATCATAAACAGGAAGTCAGGGACTGGTTTTCCCAAGTATTTTTATGACCATATTTTTTCTTTAAACGTCACCTAAAATGATTGTTAGATGTATTCTCAACCAACAAATTAAATTAGCAACTTGAATTAAAACATCCGATGAGAAGAGTGGTCAAATATCGAAGCAATTATGCCAGAAGATTGTAGATGGCCTGAAAAAGCACACAGACGATATTTTCCAAATGTTAGCAGCAGTATAAGCAAATATTTAAATGATCTGCGTTGGAAAACGAAAGATAAAACCAAGCTTGTGCATGTTGTGATATTAACCCTCATTGAAAAAAAGAGAACATATCTGCTGATGATGAGTGCATGAAAACTTCTGACCAGTGCTGTAAACAAATGGTTGTCTAAGATCCACAACTAGATGAAAGTTAATCAGTTTGGAACGGAGATCCTTGGTTTGAGCTTCATTTGGTTTTGTAATTTGCTGCTTATATTCACAACGCCAGCTGTCTGATACATATGAATGATCTACTATTTGGGAATTTCAAAAATCAAGACCCTTTAGTGTAGATGAAAAGTATACAAAATAAACTAAAGAATCCACAGAACAAATCCATGTCCCAGTCCCTGCGTTTACAGCATGAAAGTACATTCGTTTCAGTTTGGAGGTAAATAAAGAAAACCCTTAAAATGAAATTAATACTTACCAAAGCTGGGGTGTTTATCATGTCCACTATTGTAATAAACAATCGCTCTACCACTGAAATCTACACACTGCACAGTATCGACTTGCAATATAAACAATGATAAAGACTGTTATTTACAAGTTTTAACATTTCCAATTTTAGCGCCACACGTCTCTTTTCAACAAGGGGCTGCTACTATTTCTATCAATCTGCTAAAGACTAAAATAAGCCTAAAATTTCTGCTTTTTGAGGTACGCATTGAAGGACTCTCTTTATATATTGTTTACTTTTTGACAAACGCTATAACCCCTTTATCTACAGAGAAGAAACTCTAAATGTTGAACGTGTCCAAACCAAACCTTGTTGTTGTTTTGACAGATCTGTTCCCCCTCCCCTGAAGCTCCAGATGAACACAGACACATTCAGCAGAAGGTTTGTGTTGCTCTTTGCAGCAATTAAGGTCTGATTCTGTTTTTTTAGCTGGATAATCGGTGTGTGTTTGTGACTGAAGAGGAGCATTAGGAATGGGAATTACTCATACCCTTCAAAGCTCTTCACATTTTGTCACATTTATGACCTCACACTAAAATGCAGTCTGTTGAGCTTTTGTCATAGCTCAACAGAAAGGCTTAAATATTGGTTGGAATGGAAATTATACACCCTTTTTAACTTTGTCCTGTTTTAACTTTAACAGTCCTTCGTGGAAGGCTGGAAAGAAGAGTCTGTATTGAAAAATAATCATCAATAACCGTTTGGCCCATATTCAAAACCCCTGGTATGGCAGAAATCCTCCTAAACAGGCCGTCCTCAGTGTTAGGAATGGTGGTGGTGGCATCATGCTCTGGGAATACTTCTCATGGACGTTGATCGGGAGGCTGATCAAAGTGGATTCTAAGAGTAAGTAATTAGATAAAGTCAGACTGCTGCAATAGAATGGTTTAAAACAAACCACCCATGTGTCAGAATAGCCTAGGTAAAGTCCAGAAAAAAACTAATTATGAATCTTTAACGCTGGTGTCGACTATCCATTCTGAATGAGCTTAAGGTATTTTGTAAAAATAAAAAGGGTAAAAACCTAAATCAAAGATAAGTAAAGATGGTAGAGGAAAGTCCAACAATACCTGCAGCTGTAATTGTGTACAAAAGTGGAGCTGCAAAGTATGAACTCTTCAGGGCTGAGCAGAAACCAGACCAGGGATAAAAAACAAAACAAAAAACAAATATCAACTTCCCTTTAACTAAACAACTATGCAAAACTTTATTATTGGTCTATCGGTTCAGATTCCAATGAAATACAATGAAGTCTGACACTAACTGACAAAATGTTAAAGAGTTCAAGGGGTATGAATACTTCTGCATCGCAGCATCTAAAACAGAAGCTGTGTAACCTGTTTATTGAAAATAAACACCTTTTAAGTTAGCTCACTTTATACCTGGGAATAATTCATTCACACTGAATTGATTATTGATGTGAACACTGCAAGGAGGAGTTTCACATTTTCTGCTCTTGATCACTTGCTGTCAGGTTTCTGACAGCACTTTCAATGATAGATGTAGTCATCAATGATTGATTTTAGTCCTTTTGCTCCTGATTTGTAGTTATTCTTACATTTTTCCCATTTCAAATGACCTTTTTTTCCTGTAAAACTGTATGAAATACCACCATTGGGAAACTTAAAAATTATTATTGACCAGTGACCTCTATAACATCATCGTCAGAGCTCTCCCCTCCATTCACGGTGCTCGAGTGTCTGTCTGGTTGTGTCAGAGCGGCCCCTAGCAGGCTAGAGGTGGGGTTGTTGAAATGAGAGAGGAAGCCAGATGTAGCAGAGTTGGAGTTTGGCATGGAAAAGCCCCCTGACCCAGCCAGCAATGGATTGGGGAACATTCTTGGTGCAGAAAGCAGTGGCTGACTGTAGCTGAGGGGAAAACTTGAAGAAAGCAGGCCTGCCATGTTGGGGTTCATCAAGTATGAGGGCAAAGGACCAGATGGGAGGGAGGAAGAGGTCACTGTTGACGACATGGGAATGGTGGAAGAGCAGGAAGAGAAGGCAGAGGATGAGGAGGGGGGAGGAAGGTGGCCATTCCCTGCTGCAGACTGTCTCATGAGGTCTGTGCCCACAGAGGGGAACATGGGCTGCATGTCGGCCAGCGTTTGTCCCGGTGTTTGGAGGTACGAGGATCCTCCTCCAGGCATTAGAAGCTGCTGACTCATGTGACCAAGATTCCCCAGGTTCAGACCCATTTGAGGAAAACTGAGCCCACCAGAACCCATGCTTAATCCAGGGAAACGAGATGTGACCGAAGTGTGTTTTCCTCCCGTCTGTGTTTTTTCCTGACCTTCACCATGCTTACGTTTGCTGCCTCGCTGTATCTCTGGGGTCGAACCCAGCAGGTCGTTGCCAAGTTGCCGGCTCTGGTCATCGGTCTGAGAGCTGCCTCCGTCCCCCATAGACGACATGTCCAAAAGCGATGAAGACTCATCCCCCCTGCTAGCAGCAGGCTCACCTGTGGACGTGTAGCGGCTGAGCTCTCTGAGAAAATCGGAGCTTAAAGGGGAAGGAGGGTTCTGATCGATGGGACGTCGCTGGTGATCGACAGGAGATGAGCAGCCGTTACTCACTGGGTGCATCAGAGAGCCTTGGGTGTCTGTTAAAGAAAAAAAAAAAGAATCTCATTAGATTATACTGCAGAGGCTGCGGTAGTAACCCGGCTTACCTTGAAAAAAAAATGTCCAATAACTACAAGAAATTACGGATTAAGGTTTATTGAATGGAAATATGCCAATATAAAAAAAAACCCAGAAAAAACAGACATGGTCTTAACAATGTATTTGAAGGTTTACAGTAGCATCTATAGCAGAAGGCTGCCAAATTTAGATTCATGCCGGTAGTGTTCTGGTCTCACCGTCACTCGGTACAGTCATATGAAAAAGTTTTGGCACCCCTATTAATCGGAATTATTTTGTGCAAAAATGTGGGTTCCCTAATCAATTTATTGATTTGAATACCCTTAACTACTTTTGACTGACTTACTGAAACACAAAATTGGTTTGGTAACTTAATTAAGATTTTAACTTCATAGCCAGATGCATCCAATCATGAGAAAATGTATTTAAGGTGGCCAGTTGCAAGTTGTTTTCGTGTTTGAATCTCCTCTGAAGATTCATCATGGGCACCTCAGAACAACTCTCAAACAATCTAAAAACAAAGATTGTTAAACATAGTCGTTCAGAGGAAGGATACAAAAAGTTGTCTCAGCGATTTAAACTTTCTGTTTACACTGTGAGGAACATAGTAAAGAAATGGAAGACCACAGGGACAGTTCTTGTTAAGCCCAGAGGTGGCAGGCCAAAAAAAATATCAGCTAGGCAGAGAAGAAGAATGGTGAGAATGACCACCTTCAAAGACCTGCAGCATCATCTTGCTGCAGATGGTGTCACTGTGCATCGTTTAACAATTCAGCACATTTTGCACCATGAGAAGCTGCATGGGAGAGTGATGAGACAGAAGAGTTTTCTGCAAGCACGCCACACACAGAATTGCTTGAGGTATGCAAAAGCACATTTGGAAAAGCCAGCTTCAGTTTGGAATAAGGTCCTGTGGACTGATGAAACAAAGTTTGATCATAAAAAAAGGCGCTATGCATGGTGGCAAAAAACACAGTGTTCCAAGAAAAACACTTGCTATCCACTGTAAAATTTGGTGGAGGTTCCATCATGCTTTGGGGCTGCGTTGGAATCCTGGTAAAGTTGAGGGTCACATGGATTCCACTCAATATCAGGAGATTCTTGAGAATAATGTTCAAGAATCAGGTACAAATTTGAAATTAAGCTGGGGATGGATATTTTAGAAAATGATCCAAACCACTGCTCCAAATCTACTCAGGCAATCATGCAGAGAAACAATTACAATGTTCTGGAATGGCCATCCCAATCCCCAGACCTGAATATCATTGAACATCTGTGGGATGATCTGAAGCAGGCTGTCCAAACTCGGCAACCATCAAACTTAGCTGAACTGGAATTGTTTTGCAAAGAAGAATGGTCAAAAAATCCCTTCATCCAATATCCAGGAACTCATTAAAAGCTACAGGAAGCGACTAGAGGCTGTTGTTTATGCAAAAGGAGGATCTACTAAATATTAATGTCTCTTTTTTTGCTGAGGTGCCCATATTTTTGCACCTGTCAATTTTTTTTTTAATGCGTACTGCATATTTTCTGTTAGTCCAATAAACCTCAACTCAATACTGCAGTCTGACTGTATTGTAATATAATTATTGATAATAGTAAGACACAATCTCGTGCATTGAGTTAGTTTGTTTGAATGTTTTATTTCCCCTTTAAGGGTGTTGAAGAGAGTCATTACTTTTGTGAGGAAGGAAAGTTACAGCAGTAAATTTGACATGACAATTGAGAAGTAGAGCGTCCAAAACTGCAGTTGTAGTACTCTGCCAGTCTACATAACATTTAGGTTAGTTTGCCCAACTTCAAACTGAATTCAAAGCAGCTCAGACACCAAACAGTTTGAAAAATTACCTCTCTTAAATGTGCAATTGATGGGGGGAAAAAAACAAAGAAAAAAAGCCCCAAAGCAATTTACTGATGATCAGCAAGTGATGTGGCAAATAAAAGGTGAAGCATCTATGTTTATTGTTAACTATATATTTATACACATTTTAATTCTTTCATACATATTCAGCACCTAGAAAAAATGTAACAAAACAATCCTGACTTTTTCAGACTGTGTAGGATCCCTGAAGAGTTCCACCCTCTCACCAAGCTTCAAGTGAATGGTCACATTCTAGAGCAGGGGTGGGCAATTCCAGTTCCTGGGGGCCGGTATCCTGCAACTTTTAGATCCATCCTTGCTCCAACACACCTGAATTAAATGGCTTGGTTACCTCCTTAGTATGCAGTCACTTCCTCCAGAGTCCTCTCAATCATCTAATTATTTGATTCAGGTGTGCTGAACCAAAGAAACATCTAAAAGTTGCAGGACAGCGGCCCTCAGGAACTGGAATTGCCCACCGCTGTTCTAGATGAATACAGATCTATACACTTCAATCTCTGCTGACTCCAATAGAGCAGCTGACCAATCAGAATAATTAGCTGTTCAAACGGGGTCAAGTTATCAGAATTTCATTAAATGAGACACTAATTTCATTTTTTTTTTCCTCTGGAGTTCCGATTCATATTCTGCTTGTGGACAGCAAATACAGCTACAGTAGAGGTAAACCAATTATTTAATGAATGATATTAGCAGTTGTTTTTTTTTGTATGAGCATGGGTGATAAATGCATGTGTTTGGCAATTCATTAGCTCATTCACCAGCTGTGCCTTGAGATAACATATGACATGCATTGCCACAAAATTAATAACCAAAGTGGTACAAATTTGATACACTTATTTTAAGACATTTGAATTGCACTGGTGTGGATGCAGATGATGACATGAGAAGGAAAGTTGCTCACCTCTAGATGAAGCAGACACTCCTGCTGACTGTCTGCTGATTTTTCCAGATCGAACAGCAAATATCCTTCCGTCGTTCGTCCTGATGTATGTACCTGTATTAAAGAGAACGTTAAACAATGAAGGGTTCACCAACATGTTCTGTTAGCAGACATCTCCTGATGCTGATTCTACCTTTGGAGCCTCTAATGACATGGATGCTCTCTCCTGCACTGATGTGAGCTTGAACATCTGTTGTGCTGTTGGCTCCTGGGATCACAATGTCTGTGGATCCAGGTGAAAGAGAAACTGTCTCTGTGACTGAATCAATATTTTGGTGATTGATGTGCCTGGGTGTTTGTAAATACCTGTGGTGGTGACTATCCTTTGCACATAAACTCCGGCTTTCTGCAGAAAGTTAAGAGGAAGGCTGCCGGCAGAGCTGGAGGCGGCCATTCCCATTCCGACCTGCCGAGGCATCATTGGGATCGGTGTTGACTGTATGGGTCTGACACTAGCAACTGGTTTATCGTCTGGCCGGGTCAGATGGCGCCTGGAAATCCAAACAAACAAATCCTACGGTAAATTCTGCTGCAAAAATACAGAATGAAGAATGTTCTCTTTGTTGCAGAGGTTTTTATACTTTCAATAAACAGCTGGGACCATGCCTGATTTATTTTCTGTAACTTTTAACTCATCAGCAGAGGTGTCAAAAGTATTAATGTTTATTATCCAAGTAAAAGTATAAATCCTACTGTTTAAAAACCCTTTTGTAGAAGTTAGAGTATCAACTTAAGCTTTTTACTCAAGTAAAAGTGTAAAAGTACCATTTTTAAAATGACTTGGGTATAAAAATAAAAGTAATACTCTAAAAAATGTTAGGGAGAGATGCTTTATACCTTATACTGGTTATTGCACTACCCTATCAAAGTAACATGTTCCTACAATTCTGGCTGATACTTTCCTTATACTTAATTTTCTTACTTTTATAACTATGAAACTAATAATCTTTTTTAAATACCAACAGCCCCTAAGGAAAACTGAATTAACCAAAACAAACTTAAGAGTCTATTTCTAAAATGTAAAGAGTAGTAATTCCCCAAAAAATGTAGGAAGTAGAAGTAAAAAATGTCTGAAAAATAATTACTCCAGAAAAGTATAGATAGCCAAAATGTCTACTTAAGTAACAAAGAATTAGGCTTTGTTACTTGACACCTCTGCTTATCAGATATTTATTTTTGTAAGTTTATGAAATAATGGCCTACAGACTATAATATCTGAAAAAGAAAAATAAAGCAACTGAAAAATCTAAAGCAAAAAGCGGAGATGAAACCCACCATCCACGTTGGTTAAATGCAGCGATACTGGCTAGTGAATGTTCACTGGTTGGGTAGTATGGGGCGTAAGAAGGGCGGGAGTACGGTACGGAGGCTCGTTTCTCGTCCTCATAGCTCTTCTTAGCGGCTCTCTTCTCTGCTTTGGTCAATTTTGACTCCTTGCGGTCCATTAGCAGCGACTCATGGTGGAAAGGGGGCTAAAGGGAAAAAAAAAAAAGAAGCAGCTGAACTTAAGACACGAAATGAAACATGATTGGCATTTAAAGCTACTGATGTTTGGGGACTTCTGCTTCTTCTTTATTTACTTATTCACCACCAAACCTCAACTATTTGCTGAAAATTACTGGGTATCCTAGAGAAATAGATGTTTTCACTGCAAAAAATAGAAAGTTAATTTTTTCTTGAATTGAGTAGGCAAGTGAGATACTCTGCCAATGGAACAAGACAATATACATTTAAAATGTGAAAAAACAATTCCACTGTCTTATTTAAAGTTTATATTATCTCATTATCTTATTCTAAGAGTACAAATACACATTCCATTGGCAAAACATCTTATTTACCTACTCAAATTAAGGGTAGATAAGGGTAAATTTACGAAATTCTTAGTTATTCTAGATTGTTTTTGCATTGTTCACATTTTTTCTTACAAACTGTTTGTACTTTTCATAAACCCCAGTAATTCTCAAACTGCAACTAAAAAGGAGCTTTGCATAAAAAAATACAATGAAAAAAATCTAAAAGTATGCAGAAAACAATCAAAATGAAAAAGAAATTTAAAAAATGAGACGAAAAAAGGTTTAAAATGTCCTTTTATTTTGGGGGTATTTTACTTGGTATTTGATGGACTTTTAGAAGGTAGCAGAAAAGCATGACCGATCAGAGGCCTCCTGTCTGCAGCACTATCTGCGTTTACCTACAATTTGGGAGAGGTGCAGCAGAGTGTCTGCGGCAGGAACGGGGGCGTATTTGCATTTACTGTGACACACAGGCAGACAACCTGGTTTCTGAGTATAAATCAGCCTTAAGCCCCTATACTTTCCCCCTGACCCATCAGCTGACTTCCTCAGTTTGCATGTCTGCTAATGTTCTCAAAGTGAAGGACAATATTGTCACTATTAGTCAGGTCTCAGTCCTCAAGCGCCAGTATCCAGTAACTTTAGAAATGTCCCACACAGCTAACACACCTTAATTAACTGGCTGAATTAAGGGCTTATTATGCTTGAAGCGCGTACAATCCATGTGGAAAACAAGCTGCCTGTCATACCGTCGGCAGCTTTTATATTCTGTGCTGCTTTTATGGTGATGTTTATGGGCTAAATCACAGGATCTCTAGAGGTCTATATTTGCGAACCCTTGCCAGCAGGAGCCGCATATTTACAAATTTTCCTAGGTTTGCCATTCAGAAATTCTGTCCGCACTGAGAGGCGTGTAAGCCCAAAAAGATGCCATTTGTGGCGCGCAGAATAAACCGAGCTTTAGCTCTTAAACACGAAGTCAAGTTCTTAAAAGTCCTACTAATGACAATATTTTTGATTCAGGTGTGTTAACGCAGAGACACAGCTAAAAAATGCAGGGCAGCTGCCTTTAGGGCTGGAGTTTGATGCCCGAGTGTCAGAAATAGGATTGGCTAATCACAATCAGTATCACTCTCGTGTTCCACAATGAAACCACAACAATATATTTTTATCCCATCAAGCACCTTGAAGGCCTATTTCAGACAACCCAGATAATTCAACACGGAAGTTCCCCTAGTGATTTATTCTGTGTAGCTAGCCTCCTGCAGACTAGGTTTACAACCAGGCTTAGTTAAACCTGGTGCATCCTCTCTTCAGTCAGTCAAATAGGTCTGGGATCTCTTGTTTTCCCAAAGATGAGGAGTGCAAAATAAACAAAGCTTTTACTAAGAATCAGAACAACATAAATCAAGACTAGAGAAGGGGGGAGCTGTGGCATGAGTGAGAGAAATCTGAACAGGATGATTTAAAAAAGATGTTCTTCTAAAGCGCTGCCTACTGTTTCAATAAGATCTATTAAAGGTTATACATTTCAAAATCCATACTCAGTAATCTGATGTTTTGCTAATTTATCATAGTGATTATTAAATATATTCTTTCAGGCTTGGGTGTGTTTGTCTTCTTAAACATATGAAAGCCAATCATGGAAAAATAAAGGAGAAAAACTAAAAGAGGGAAGAACCTGTGGATTGAGAAGTATGAGGAGGGAGAGATAATCCCATAGATAAATGGGCATTTTCTTTAAACAATTAGAGCTTTTTTGATGCAGCTGGAAAATTTTCTTTCAGAGGTTTACAAAGGCCTTGGAGGAGTTCTCTTTAATATTTCTGTGAATTTCATAGTATTAAATCAAAACCAGAATTATATCATAACAAAAATTTGTCCTGATATAATTTTTAATAATAATTTTTTCCAGTTCTTCATTAACCCAACCCTATATTTTCCCAAACAGGACCAGAACCACACATCCAAACCTCCTAATAGGTTGGAAGATCAACAAATCTGAAATAAATGCATGCAGCTACTGAATTTGTTACAAAAAAATAGATCTTGTTTTTAAAGAACTATACCTTGGTGATGAGATTTGGATAAAGCTCACAAGCTCTATATATCACCGACTCCAAATCTCTCTGGGATTCCAGTAAGATCTTTTCAGACTGAGGCTCCTCTTCCACAAAGTGCAACAGCGACTCAACTTCCTTTCGGGTGAAGTTCAGCACTGGGTTCAGGTCATCAACCACCCGGTCTTTAAGTGGAAAGAAAAGATAAGTTCTGTATCCGAAAATAATTGCAACTTCCTGAAAAGGTGAAAGCTTAGAAAGAGTTCTTCTAATAAAATGCGAGCCTCTTACCAGACATGCCCTGTTTAGAGACCTGTCGGTCATAAATCTTTTTCTCCAGGGTGAAGTCACAGACTAGACGGTAAATGTAGCAAGGCTTCCTCTGACCGTAGCGGTACACTCGACACACTGCCTGAGCATCGTGACAGGGGTTCCAAGACGCATCAAAGACAACAACACGGCTGGCCCCGATCAAATTCACCCCCAAACAGCCCGCTCTGTGGATGACGACAACACTCAGTACAAAACAGAACCTTGAGTGATCAAAAGAGGAAGGTACCCACCGTGTAGAGAGCAGAAAGAGCCATGCTGATTTGTTGTCTGGGTCATTAAACTGATTGATGAGCCGTTCTCTCTCTGACGCAGATGTACTGCCGTCCAGTCCTGCAGAAAAACGCCATCTCAGAAAGAGCTAGACACACTTAAACTTAAAAAACATTGTTGAAGATAAAATATGTAGGTAAGAAGAACAGAGCTGCAGATGTTGATCAAGTTTTTAATATCAACTCATTTTTTCACGTAAAGAAAACATGGCACAGAGCTGAGAGAAATCTGGTAAAGCAAGTACAGAAAATAAGAGAAAAAAATTGTTTTGTTATAAACTCTTCCTTCCAGGCTGAGTGACAGGTCTGAGAAAAAAAAGCACAAGCTGGAAAACTCACTGTAGTAATTGAGGTTGCGAACCCAGTTTTGGTTTGGGTTGTCACTGGGAACGATGCCTTGGGGCATGGGTCTCTTTGATAGGAATTCCTCAATGACAGACAGAGTGGACAGACTTTGGCTGTTGGACACACAGATCCATAAGAAATCCATAAGAATATTTACTGGCTTCAAATGGGCACATCATAAATACAAGCTTTGGGGATTCCTCATTATTTCCATTAAAGTTCTACATTTGCTGTGCATGCTTGAGATGTAGGCTTTTAGCATCTTCCAAAAACTAAACTGTTAAAACGGATTATTTTCAAATTTTTTAAGTTTGTAATCGCAGTTCCCAAATCAGGACCTAAAGAAATTCCTCAGTTAGATTCCAGAACAATAAATTTAATTACAATGTATTGCTTTCCTCTTCCAAAAGATCTGGACTCACATCTTTTAGATCTGTCTTACAAGAGCATTCAGTCCCAATAAACTTTTCATTTCAGTCAGTAACAAATGCCGTTACCTCCAACTCAGTGCATAGCGAAATACTGAAAATTGGTTCTAACGTCTTAACACAATGATTGAATAAAATACAGTTATATAAGATATATTGAATTATTGTCCAGCCCTACTTCACTGTCATTTATGCAGGACAGAATACCTACCTAAAGACCAAAATCTTGTCTCTTCTTCTTACACTTTCTTCAATCAAGTGGAAAAGCAGAACAATCTTAGCTGAGTTCTCTAAAACTCCTGGCTGGTAGTTTGACATGATGTCCTTGGCCTGGAAAAAAAAAATGTGCACAGTGGGTTAATTGCACTACTTTAGAAATTAAAATATTTTTAGCTCTACGGATCATTTGAATGCGTGAAGGGCCGCTAACCCACCCATTCGTATGTGATGACTTGATTGGCTCTATCTTGAGATGGATTCAGCGGAGGCAGACTGTTGCTGACTTTGCTATTGCTGGAGTCTGCTGCTTTGCTCTTTAGACCAGATCCAGGTGCAGGGCAGCGAGGGTTACTGGCAGAGGTGATGTCATCCAGGTCCAGGTCCTGCTCATTAGCCTGGTTCTCCTTCTGCAGGGCTTCATAGAGGACGTCGGGGTGATTCCAGATCTGAACACGTTGAGAGGACAAAGGTTAAAGCTGGCAGTGAATATAAGAATGGAGGTAGCTAAAAAAAACAAAAACCCAACAATCTGACCTTGCAGCAAACGCAGAAAGCTTTAAGTGGGTTGAGACCCAGCCAGCCGCTGTTCCCTGCCTCTCTAAACCGCTTCATGAACTCTGTGTACAGCGCCTTCTGAACAGGAGAAAGTCGCACCAGGATCACAAACTCCTCCTTAATTGGGAGATGGTGTCTCAGCACATCATGACCTCGTCTAAGAAGAATGAAAACAACACAAACAGCTTGATGTAAGTATGCTATATGTAAGCAGCATTTCTGAGTGAATGGCTGAGTGAGAAAGATTCACCTCTGAACAAAGCCCTCCAACAAGCTGTGCAGCACGTGACTGCGGTAGCGCATCAAGCGAACGTCTTGAGGAGTGCTGTCCACGCACTGGCCGTTCAAGATGGGACGCTCAAACATGTTGCTGAACTCCTGCCGGGTGCCTAAAAAGTCAGGCCTGACAAAGTCCACCATGCACCAGTACTCAATGAGGTTGTTCTGCAGTGGGTAACCGGTCAAGACCACCCTGCGCCTCGAGCGGATATTCTTCAGGGCCTGAGACGTGCTGGCGTGATAGTTTTTAATGCGGTGGCCTTCATCGCAGATCACAACGTCAGGGCCGGGCCGAGCGATTGCCTTTTCAATACCTGGGGGAGGAAAACCCAAAAAAAATAGATTGTTTAAAACGGTGTAATTATTGAGATAAACTACATTACTGTTTATACCCTTTTATATTTGTATTTGGAAACCACAAATTTTAACTTTTTTTTTTTTTTCTAAACTCTGCGTGATAAACGAAAATAAAGGAGCTCTTAAAGGAATAGTACACCCAAAACATGATTAGCCTTCATTTTCTACTCACCCCCATGCTGAACAACACTCTGGAGTACTTTTTTGATATCTCAAATGCATCTGGAGATCTGGGAGGCTTCTTGCTGTCTGCTGACATTCAAATAATGGAGGTGCCCAGCGCCCGAGGCAGAAAGGTCCATAAAAGTCCACAAAAACGTGTCAATATTCCTCCATACTGCTCGTCCAATGTATTCCAAGTGTCCTGAGTGGGTAGCATCCAGAATTTACTCGAAATGAAGTCATTTAGAATGTTTTTAGAGCATAAACAGTAGTGTATAGGATTTCCTGAAAGCGCGCACATGCGCGATCACGACGCTACGGAAGCCGGCAGACCAAACCAGCGCATTCAGCTCGGCAAAGAACTCATGCTCTTCCTCAACACTGAAGTCCTCAGACATTTTTCTTTCGTTGTTTCTTTCTTTGCACAGGTAAACAGCACATTTCTTCTTCTACGCTTGCATTATTGGAAGAGCAGACGCTGAATGCGCACTTTCATCTGGTTTGGTCTGCCGGCTTCCGTAGCCTCGTGATCGCGCATGTGCGCGCTTTAAGGAAATCCTATACACTACTGTTTATGCTCTAAAAACATTCTAAATGACTTCATTTCGGGTAAATTCTGGATGCTACCCACTCAGGACACTTGGAATACATTGGACGAGCAGTATGGAGGAATATTGACACGTTTTTTGTGGACTTTTATGGACCTTTCTGCCTCGGTCACCATAGACCTCCATTATTTGAATGTCAGCAGACAGCAAGAAGCCTCCCAGATCTCCAGATGCATTGGAGATATCAAAAAAGTACTCTAGAGTGTTGTTCAGCATGGGGGTGAGTAGAAAATGAAGGCTAATCATGTTTTGGGTGTACTATTCCTTTAAACATAGTTTAGGAAAAATGGCGTAGTCTTTTTAAATTCGTAAACTAAAAATTGATATGAGAATTTGTGCCATAATTTGAAAATCTAATTTCCAAGCCACTCGAACCAATCTGTTGGAGCCTTTTGAAAAGGTAGACATGATTGACTCTATTAGTTAATCAGACAGAAACTGAAATGGGTCTTCAAATTTACAAAAGTTTAAGGAATCCATCCAGGTGTTGTTCAAGAGACTACTACTTTTATGAGGTTCTTAACATCTACAGATGTTACTTCTAATTTAGGTACCTTTCATGAGTTCTTGTTGTCTGTCCTCCTCATCCAGGTCAATAATGACCGGCCCAGTGGGCTTCTTTGTTTTCCTCTTCTTCCCCATCACAAAGCTCTTCTTCATGGTCAGCAGGCGGTACATCTCGTATCCCATCAACAACACACCTCCATCTCTGGACCACTCTTCCACTACCTTGGCCCTGGCCACAGTCGTTCTGGGGGTTAAAAGTTAACATGATTAACGTCTCAAATGACTGACCGTGAGTGCTTACACATGTAGGTCAGCCTAAATGTAACATACTTGTGCTCATCGTTGAGAATGTGAACTTTGAACATGCGTCCAGTGACAAAAGTTGGGTCTGTGTCAGGAGGAAGGGCCTCCTGGGGTGGGAGCCACAGGTTAAACTCTGTCAGCCAGTTCTGAAGTGTGTTGACCTTGTGTAACAGAAATGAAACAGGTCAGGGGTCAGACTCATAAATAAAGAAACAAAAAAATAAAAACAGAGAACATTCTGTAAACCTTAAAGAAAAAAAAAAGAATCAAATTCATGTTGATTTCTTACAGGTACGATGGCCAAAACAGTGTGGGCCTCAGTGTTCCTCAGAAGGATGTCGATGAACGAAATGACCTGCAGAGTCTTGCCCAAGCCCATGCTGTGAGCCAGGATGCAGCCAAAGCCACTGCTGGTCTTGTACCGATCCAAAGATTCAATGAGGTTATCATAGAGAAACCGGATCCCTCCAACCTTTGAAATAAGGAGAAAATAAAGTTTCACCCCAGACAACTGTCACTCTCTTTACGTTAGCCATAAAGTTTTACAGATAGAGGAGCTGAAGGAGGATGGAGCCATACTTGGTGAGGTTTAACAGCTCGAGCCAGCTGTGGGGCCAGATAAATGTCTTTCTCCTCTGGGGGATGGTTGATATTAACCAGCACCCGACCCTGGGCATCAGGTAAGTTCAGCGCATCATTTATATGTGCACCGCTGCTCTCCTCTGAGCCGCGGGCAGCTTCACCGTCCTCATCAGCCGACTCACTGCTAATGTGCATGGTGTCTTCTTCCCCTGAACTGAGCTCAATTATATCTGCAACATCATTAGGGAAGTAAACACTGTTAGTGTATAATCAAAAACCACACTACTTGAAATAAAATGAAGTGGTCAGAACTATGAACTTACCATCTCCAATGGCCAGGGCGGGCAAATTTATCTCTGTTTTTTCATCTTCCTCACCACTACTATCCAGACAGATCACATCTTGCTTGCCTTGAAGAGCAGGGACCAACTGAGACACTTCTGCTAATAAAGCTGCTGTTTCCACTGTTGCAAAATAAGAAGGAAACTGAACATTTAGGATTGAAGTGTTGCACATTCATTGTTGACTATTTCTTGATTCCAATACAGTCACCTAGTTGAGGGTCTGCAAGAGCTGGTGCTGGTGTAGGAAAGTCTTTCCTCTGCTGCTCCAGCCGTTTCCGCCTCTCCATCTCCTCCTGCTGAGCTGCCTTGGTCCCGGCCTCCAGCTGGTCCTCCTGCAGCAGCTTTCTGTGAAATGAAGAAAGAAGGAATTTGTTCAAGCAATACAGAAAAACAACAACAAACAATTCACCTGAACATAACAGACATAAACCTACCTAATGTTCTTCCTCATGTGAGCTGGCTTTGCTGGTTTGGAGGGTTTAGGACATTTAGAAGACTTGGGTGGTTTGGTTAATTTAGAAGCTTTGTCCTTCTTTGATTTTTTAGACGGTTTGCTCTGACTCGAGTTCCCAGAACGAGAAGCTGGTCTGGAGGACGGACGGGACGATGGGCAAGATGAGGAGGGCTCTCCAGAGGAAGATGAATCAGAGTCCATGCCATCCCCAGTCCTACTCTGGGCACTTGCAGGTCGCTCTTTAATGAGAAAAGATTGTATTACAGTTTAAGCACGAAAACAAAACCGACTCTTTCTGAATGATAACAGAAACTACACAACTAAAAAAAAAAGATTTTGCATTTAAAGGAGTTTGTTGGATGATTGTAAATTAGTGATTGTGTCATTTTCAGCCGTTCTCTGGTATTCTACTGCTATTCCAGTAGCAGATTTAATGTCATCATGTGTCCACCATCGTACTTGACAGTAGAGCCCAGTTTCAAAAGAGTCGGGTGAAACAGTTTAAACCAATCAGAAATGCCGTCATTAAAACATTAGTCCATTGATAACCTTTACTATAATGGTCACAGAAAAGCACTGTTGCATTATGGGCCTGCCTCCCCCGCTGTGATTGGTCCAGTCTGTTTTAGAGCAGAGAGTTTTGAGCCTTACCAGACCGAGTTATGCATCGTCTAAATTAGGGCTGCAACAAACGAATTTTTTGTAAATCGACTAAACTGACGATAATTTTTTTGATAAATCAATTTATTATCTGATAGCAAAAGGTTTGTTAAAGAGGACTTTTGGCGAAATTAAACCAGATGAAACTAAAACATTTCTACTTCAAGAGTTCAGGAAAGAGCATATTGACAGATGAAAAAGATTGTTACCCTAAATGTAAAAAAAAAAAAATAAATAAATATATATATATATATATATATATATATATATTAGGGGTGTAAATAATAATCGTTTTGTATCGATGCATCGATCCAACAGCCAACGTTTCGATACATAGATACTTTTTTTTTTACACACTGTGGGTCTAGACACGGCCGAGGCAGTGAGGAAGTGGGGGCGAGTTTAGTCCGACGACGAAGGGAAAGGAGGGCCAAGAAGAGCGGAGATCCAGGTGGAAAAAGGGAAGAAAAAGAACAAAAAACAAAACAAAACAAAAAAACAATCGAATCGTATCGTGATGTATTCTTGAGTATCGAATCGTTGGGTCAGGAAATCGATACTGAATCGAATCGCCATGATGATTTACACCCCATATATATATATATATACATATTTTTTTTCTTTTCTTTTCTTTTTTTTACTTTTTTTTCCTTAAATTGAGACTTTTTAAATCATTTTATCATTTTGGTGTATTATCATGCAAATGGAAGAAGAGAAATCAATATTGTCTCATAACACATCAGTAGCACATATTGGGGATCAGTTATAAAGACATGAAAATGATCCGTTTCTATGAAAGAGGCGGTATCAGACCATATCTAGGACCTATCTGTTGAATTTGAGTTCACCAATTCTGACAATTTCCTGTTTAAAGAAATATTTTCAATTTACTCTTGTCTGACATAAATATATACGGTCACAACCCTAGCTGTCTTTTATCCCGCTAGTAACTGCTAGTATGTTTTTACCTTATACAAAAGAGAGTTGTGTTGTTTTTTTTTTTGTAATGATACAAATTTTACATTTTCCTCTTATTTGTTTTTGAAACAAACATGTTAGTTGGCTGAAAAGCACAAATAATAAAAAAGAAATATCTATGACTTGTTTTACTAAAGACTTTTTAATGGAAGGATAACCTGTGCCATATTGTCAGAAAACCATGGAGGAATCTACCATCTTCAACATGGTGTGTAAATAAACAAAGGGGCTTATTTTATTATTGCAGCATTGAGCCTGTACACTTACGGAGTATTGAGCTAACAAGCTAATAGTGGCTAGTAATTGTAACTAGTTATTGCTACGAACAAAAGCTTCACTCACCAAGTCCGTCATCTTCGTCGTCACCGTCATTTTCCTCCTCATCTTCCTCCATGTCCTCATCATCCTCCTCTTCCTCATTCTCCATGCACTCCTCTTCACTGTCAATGCTGGCCTCCAGGTCGCTTTCTGAAAGTGCCTCTTCAGACATGTTGTCTTCCAGGGCTGTCAAAATATTACCTACACACCTTCATCAGGAACTTTCCAGAGAAACAGAAAACCATGTTACCCTTCTGCCACAGTTCTATGCATAAAAAACAAATCCATTCATCAACTGGTCTTTTTTTATTATTCTATCCTTCTTGAGTTTTAGCTGAGTTTAATATATGCTTATCTAGACCATTATAGGTAGGGTTATAATGGAAAATATTCTAATAAAACAACTGCTATGTTTGGAATTATTTCCAGAGAGATACATTTCTCTGTCTCTATGAGGGAAATGTGTGAGAGAGCAGCAACACAAAGGTTTGTGGGGTGGTTAGTAGAAGATGTGCAGCTCTATTCTATGTTTTAAATTGTAATACGGTAGTTCAAAGCTTTGGTGCACATCTTTAAATCACACTAGAAGCATCTCTATCAGCAAGTCTGTGGCTGCCATTTAATATTAACTTAGTCTATTCAAAAACAGCCATTCGCTAAAGAGCACTGCAGACTGACATTGAGGAGCATTTTCAGAAACGTTCAATCAGACCCACCCCTCCAAAAAATAGTAGCTTTGTTTTTAGATAATAAATAAAATCCCTACTTGTTGATCAATAATTAGTAATTTCAGATGAATACATGCTCAAGTGAGTACAAGATCCCGATACGGTCCCTTGTTTTAATTAATCCACAGCCCACTTCTCGAATCTGTCTATAAAGGCTCATTTGGGCGCCTTACATAATCTCTGATGCCATAAATAAGTATGATCTTTTGGTTAGATGAAGGAGTACAGGTAAATTTATCACTACAAAGAAATATTGTACATTAAAGTCTGCTGAAAGTTTCATATCAATGACTGAACTACTTTAAATAGTTGTTTTCGTAGTTGAATGTTCAAACTTTTTACAGGTTTCAATGTCAGGTGTCACATTAACTTTGAACTCATACTGTTAACATGTCAATTTTTTCCCCACACACATGATCCTGCAATCATATGTAAAAACATTTTATGCTTTTACAAGCTCTTTGACACTGATTTGATTGTTCAAATATAACTGTCAGATATTTACCCTACTCTATATGCTGAGTATAATTTAAAGGATTTCTATGGTCACATTTTGTTTGCTTTTGCAATCCAAAGAACGTATAAAAACATAAAATTTGAGGTGTAAAAAAGCTTTAACTATTATAATGTCCAACTTACAGCCTAATTTTGGCATAGTTTTAAACATTTTAATTGCAATCCAAACAAGCGCTTAAAGAATAAAAAGCAAACAATGCGTACACAACCAAGACCCAACTTTAGACCTTTTTCACACTGGAGTCGAGACAAGAACTTGTAACATTAGCTCGATAACTAAAATGGAAAGCTAACAGTTAGCATTAACAATCAGCTACTGTCTTTAGAGATACGGTTGTTGTTATTAATGCACAAAAAACAAGCTGTAGTTGGTTTGTTCGTTAATTAACACGGAACACCGCTGCCTGCAGAGACATGAGGATGTTTTTCAAGCAGGACGACCCTCGGTTAGCTAATTACACAACAACAAAGACATCTCCAAACGCTGAAAAGCAGCGAAGCACAACGTATAATTGGGGAGCAAAGTCCGACTGCACACTGAACTGGAAGAAGAGCTAAATACTTATTATTACACATGTACAGCTCAGTTGGATATGGCTAATAGATTATCTATGTGTGGGTGTAACGTAGCTATCGCTAAGCTAAATTAGAGCGAGGCTAACACGCTCGGCTATTAGATGCGCGTCAGCTGCGCTCAAACATCCAGGTGTAGTTAGGGCTCACCTTCTGTGTGTTCTGTCATTCAGTAAGTCGCTCTGATATTATATACAGCAGATATTCAGCCGAAAGATGCAGTGAGTGTGTACATGAAACGATAAACGTTGCTAATTTTCATTTATTTTAGTGTGACCATAAATACTGCCCCCGAAAGATGAACTGTAACAATGGTTCCGGGATCCTGCTCTCAGTCAGGCACAATCAGAACTGACACGGGGTGGATTTTTAAATGTTTTATTATTATTATTCTGTCATAAATTATTCTTCATCTATTATTGATAAACATACACCTCATGTTTTTCCTGGCTTTATATAAAATTAGATATTTTTATTTTATTTTTAAAAGGCTCTTAATAATCAATGAAAAAGTAGTTTTTGGCATTACATTCAACCTTCTTATAATTGCAGACTGGTTTTTTGCTGGTTTCCACTGATACAATGATGATTTAATCTTTGTGATGAGCTCCAACTCTTTGAGAGAAAAAAATCCCACTCTGACCCCAATATTCTAAAGAATCTTTTGGCTCAGTTCAAGATCTAACACATGTATGGATATTTCACACTTACATTAAATACACAATGCTACAAAATACAATTTCATATATTTATGTTAAACTATTAACAAGACAGTTTTTCTGTATTTCATGTTTTTCACAGTTGTATAAATTGCTGTTCTTTTGGATTATTTAGAGTTCTTATATTATTTTAGTTCTTCACATTCTCAGCAGAGACTCAGTTCTACAACAAATTATATGAAAAATAGATTTTGAGTCCAGTTTTATTAAGGTATGTGTAATTCTATGCAGGTACATGTAATTTACGAAAAAATATTGATTAGTGTGTAAAATTAATTTCTTCTTTAACCTTTATTTATGCACCTTGTCTTATTGACACCAATAGGCAAACATGTTTGAAAAAAACAAAGCTAGTAACAAAAAAGTAACAATTCAAAAACAAGAAAATTAAATACTTGATTTAAATAAGAGAAAGTTATAAAATATTAGCTAACAAGCAAGTTTGATTTAAAAAATTTTTGTCAAATAAATCTAAGTTGTCCCAAAGGAATCAAGATTCTGTGGCAGAGTTTTGCAAGCTGACAGGGCATATTAAGAACATGCTTCTTTCCATCTTCTGATTGCATCAACAGTACTGGAGGAGATAAAAGTCCTAAGAGCAAAGCATGTGACTTGATATTCCAAGTGACATGAATGAGGATAAATAAGGCAGGAGCACTCAGTCCAGCTTTATAGATGATTGTGTATTGATGCAGTTGTCAGAAGATTAAACATTATGGCCAATTCACCCAATAATATAAATTACAGTGATTAATTATTCAAATTACCAGATAATTATTTTTACATCATGAATTTTTAAGTAGGGGAGTGTTTGCCTGGTGGTTAGAGCAGTGCGCTTGTGCTCTAAGAAGGTTGCAAGTACCTAGTTCAATCTCCACAGCCTGCACTCTGGGTCCGTGAGCAGAACCCTTAACCCCTCACTGCACCACACAATGGAGGCTCACTGCTCCCCAATGGGAGGGGTTAAATGCAGAGGTAATTTTCTCCAGTGTAAGATCAATAAAGTATTAGTATTATTAATTAGAGGTGGGTAGCGTACCCAAAAAATTGTACTCCAGAAAGAATAGCACTACTTAATCATACTTTTATTCCAGTAAAATGAAAAAGTATCTGTTCAACTAATCTACTGATCATAACATCTGATCATAACATTAATATTAAAAAAATGATGGAAAGTTACAAAATGTGTAAAGCTATTTGCAAATTCTGACATTTCAGAGAGCTAGGTAAGAAAATAGATATATAACATTCAATAATTGTACAATAGTTTCTGGTTGAAAAATACTTTAAAATATATTCAAATGTTTTAATAAAACTTATGAAATCAGTACTTACAGTAAGTCATTTGTATAGGTTAGAATAATGGAAGTCCCCTCCCGTAAGAAGATACAATATAATATTTTCTAAATTTTCAGTTGAGTGCTTTATGACACGGCATAGTCAGCCAATAGAGAATAATTTTAAGCCCATATAGCTTGAGTACACAACAGAAGTCTCACTTAAAAATCAACTGTAGGCGTGTCTCTCTAGTGTATTATTTCAAACAAGCATGGTTTTATTGTGTGAAGTTATGATACAGTAAAAGCAGTGAACTTCACTATTTTTTTACTTTGTAAAACAAAAAAGTAAAATGCTGTAAAGCTTATTAAAAAAAAGTTTTTTTTTCTCTTTTTTTAAAAAGTTACTCAACTAAAGGTAACTGGTTACTTCCCACCTCTGCAGACAGTCCAGTAAATAGGAGACATAGTATTATATCGAAAACATTGATCCAAATATTTACACCCAACGTAGAACAAGTAACAATTTGCAAAGGTGTGGGCTTTCAGAAAGGAAAATAAGTACCATAAATACCTTTTTATAGTATGACTATAGGATTAAATTGTACACTTAATTCTCCAGCTTTCATAATCAGTTATGGCTATTGTTTTATAGTTATTCTAGAAAAACTAGTGTTGGTTAAATGATTGGACAAGTCATGTAATGGTCAGAAACGGAGCCAAGTCGGTTTCCCAACTTGCCTCTATGAGCACAAAGCACTGGGAATCTTTTTGAGAGTATTTTTCCTCTCAGTATGTTATTTTTGAATAAATTAATCACATATATGCTCATTTTAGTTCTCCAGTTGGATCAGCGCCAGATTCTGCTGCGGTCTTTTGTTTTATTTATAAGGTATTCTCTTTTCCACTGTCAGGCTTGTCCAGTGTGAGGGATTGCTGTACAGCCGCTGATGTAATGCAATGAATTCACCGCTGATGAAAGATCAGCAGAAGAAGACTGGATGTAATAATTCTGGTTCTGGACTCAATTTAACAACATTATAAAATAACTAGGATTATTGTAAAGCTGTCTATAAGAATAATGATCTTATCTGTATATCTGCATTTAATCATTTGAGATTAGGTTTGTTGTAAATATTTAGTATGTAAAAAACGAATTAAAAGCTATTAGCTTTTAATTTTCAGAGAATTCTGATTGAATTTAGCTTTAAGCTAAATTCAATCAGAATTCTCTGAAAATTTGCATATGATATGCATTGTTTTTTTTATCTTACTGATAAATATGCTGTTGTTTTTTTCTTTTTGTGTGCTTTTATAATAAGTAAAAAAAAAAAAAAAAACTGCCTTCACAACCTGTATTGGAGATTTCTTGTGAAAAAAACCTAAAAAACTTGGATCTAAAATATTCAACCAAGGATGGAATGGGAGTACGGATGATTCAAACGGTATTACGTGTTTCTTGCTAAAAAGTACATTCGTGTAGAATAATTAAATATCATTAACATAAGATAGAATTAGTTCAAAGTTAGGGATGTTGAGAGAAGACATATCCGGACCATGATCAGATCGGACTGTTATTGTTGCGACCATAGGTTGCGACAACGGTTCGTCGCTTTCTGATGATGTCATCTTTTGCGACCAATTTTACCTTTTGTGTTTATGTATCTTCCTTCGTTTGTTACACGGCGATTAGCTATAAAACATCTTTAGCCGCCTTTGGATATGGACTGGAACACATCTTAGATTTTATTCTCCCTTAAAGACGTTCAAAATGAATAACAAAGGCTGGCTGGAGCTAGAGAGTGATCCAGGTAAAAAAAACATCGGCGGATATTTAGGCTAACAAACATTAGCTTTCCACAGTAGCCTACTGGGCTGCCTATCAATAACATAAACTGATAGAAAGAAACTTCAATGCAAAACAATAAGAAATAACTCTAATGTAATGACTTTTAAGAATTATGCGGTGGGTGTTTTTAAAATAAATGGTATCTCGCTGTTTGTTGTATTGCAGGATTGTTTACATTGTTGGTGGAAGATTTTGGTAAGCATTTGCTCTACAAACTAACATTTCTCTCATATTTAATGTAAACATGAACTCTTTCATGTGGAAAATAAACCCTAATATTTGAAATATTCTTTTGGCAACTTTAATGTAGGTGTCAAAGGCGTCCAAGTTGAGGAGATCTATGATCTGCAAAGCAGATGTCAGAGGTGCGGATGTGTGTGTTTAATTTTGATTTTTTTAGTTTGCTACACAAAAACCCTTCTAGAATTTACATTTACCATCCACATATGTAAAGAAAAAAAGTAAAAAAATATATAACAAATAATCACACTATTGTCCTAGATCGTGATAAAAGCCATTCTTTTCTTTTCCAGTCCTGTTTATGGCTTCATCTTCCTGTTTAAGTGGATTGAAGAGCGTCGATCCAGGAGAAAAGTCAACACCTTGGTGGATGAAACCTCGGTCATTGATGAGGAAATTGTAAATGATATGTTCTTTGCTCACCAGGTAAATGTTTTTATAGATTTTTTTTAACATACTGTTCTGTTTATTTCTGCAGGTGTTCTTTTAACCCTGCTCCTCTAAAATGTACTGTTTTTGTATAGATTTCTTGGAATGACAATGATACATCTTGTTCCCAGCTTTAAATGGAAATAGTGTATTTCTGATTACACATTTAAAGTATTGTTAAATTGTTTATGTTTAATATATTTAATTCTATTTGAAAGATACTGTCACTATGCTGGTGAAGAGTCATCCAGGTCATAGTCATTCCAAAAAAGTAAAAAGAATAAACCACTGGACCTTATTTCCAAGTTTGAAGACATTTTTCTTCCCATCCAGGAAGCTTTTCCAGTTCAAATGTCAGAAATAGCGTTGAGTTGCTTTATACAGTAGCCCAACAAAGCTTAGACAACATGCAAACTGAAACGGATGAACGGGTCCACCCCTTTGGAATGGGGGTCGTGTGGCTTCTTTTGATAGCCTGCAATACCAAAAAAGACCCTTAAACAGAGACTAGTGCATCCTAAGGACAAAACCCCCAGATGAAACATGAGCGTAGTGGTGTATGCAGTTCAGTGCAGTGAGGAATGCTCTGATCATTATATTGGAGAAACCAAACGACCTCTCCACAGACGCATGGCCCAACAATGAAGAATGACCTTCTCGGGACAAGATTCTGTGGTACTTCTACACCTTATGGACAAAGGACATTCTTTTGAGGACCAGAATGTTCACATTATAGATAAAGAAAATAGGTGGTTTGAGAGGAGTGTGAAGGAAGCCATCTATGTTAAGAAAG